CATCCTGAAAATATCCATAAAAATAAAAAGTATGATCGTATGATCTAAAGGGTACAGGGTGTGTTCGTTCCCCACCTGTGTTGTAGAAGAGTGTGGCAATGAAGGTGCAGTTCTTGAAAAAAGTGTTGCTGGACGTGATGTCCTCAAAGTAACACTCCTCAAACAACGAGTCCTCAAACACCATTGATCTCATCCTCAAGTTCATAAACCTGCAAGCAATTTACAGACACATGGAAATGAACCATTTGAATAATTCATATATAGTTAAGTATTGTATTGATACATAGTTGTGTATCAACCCAGTTGATTCTTTTAATCTATTAGTTCTTTTAATCTATTATGATTAAGTATGATTTTTTTTTTTCCCCACATACAGGAAGTGTTCTATAGTGTACAAGAGTATGTACTCACTTGTCATTGAAGTACTCTCCCTGGCGGTGGACCTGGTTCTCCAAAGTAAAATTAAAGGTGACATGTTCCACTTTCTCCTTGACAAAAACTTTGGTCAAGGCTGCATACTCCTGTTTCTGCAGGTACTTGATCATGTCGGGAAACCAGACTGTCAGACCGTAGTAGCTGAAGGAACGGGACAAAGCAGGAAGAGACGGAGATTGAAATATATGAATTTAAGTTAAGTTATGTATTTAATATACATATATGAATCACTGGCAGTTATGAACTACATGCTTTGATTTAGCTCTGTCTTTATCTTACGATGCTCCACAGGATTCACAGAATCGCATCACAATGAAAAACCAGCGATGGCAATGACCAATAAGTGGATGAACGTTTGTGAGAAAGTGAATCCAACCACACATGTTTAAAGGGTCTGTCATACAGCAGGACTTAAAATACAGATCAAGATTGTCTCTGTTTATTTACACAAATTTAAGGAGAAACTAACGGTAATTCAAAATGAAGTATACAAAAAAAAAATACAGAAGTGTTTTTCTATAATAATAAAATAGTTGTACAGTGTTACAATTTGCAGGTAAACTGACACATTACAAATCATTAACGGGCTTTTCAAAAGAGGCTGTTGTTATTGTGAAAACGCTAATAAGTTCCTATGTGTTATTCTTCCCGCAACAGGAACATTTACAAGGTGAGTGTTTGCAACCAAACCACAGGAGGCGCCATTAGAAAAAAATCTGGTTTCTCTGGGAATTAAACCCAGGATGCTCATCCCTCTACTTTCAAGGCAGGCGTGCTAACTGGCACACTATGGAACCACCACTCTGGAGAGCCATATCACGATATTGTAATCTTTAACCTAGCTGTTCAAACAGGACTATAAGACGCACTTTTTTTTTTTCATCCTCTGGCTGCGTTTGCGACTTATATATCAAAATATACAATTTGACGTTTGTTACTGTATTTTCACACTGACATCCGCTAGAGGGCACTCTAGGCTCGCGTACCAGTATCTGCTATTTGTGTACCACTGAAAATGTACATGTTCGTTTTTCTCACACTGACAGCCACTAGAGGGCTCTAGGCTCGTGTACCAGTATCTGCTATTTGTGTACCACTGAAAATGTACATGTTCGTTATTCCCACACTGACAGCCACTAGAGGGCACTATAGCTGGCTGGTGAGACTTATACTCCTGAGCAACTTATATTTGTCAGTCATTTATTCAAATATTTTTATTTCATAAATCAAAGCAATAAGAGGGGAAACCCAGGTTGATGTCTATAAAACACATTTCGCAAATATAACAAACTAATTTTTTTAGCCGCTACGTGTACACAGGGTCCCCTAGCTACATTAAACGCAGTAATTATTAATCGTAGAATTTAAAACAACAGATGCGCAACTTAAAGACGTAAAGTGTAAACTAAGCAGTTCATTCAAAACACTGAAAACCTGAAGAGATTAAAAACATCTGATGGTTCCTGCTATTCACTGACCCCTTGTGTTAGAAATGGTACTGTGCAACTGTACCTGAAGGACATGGAGAACCACACGGCCATCATCATGTAGGTGGTGCGGCGATATTCAGGGGAGAACACAGCCTGGAAATTACTCCACACCTGCGAGACATACACATTTATACTGATAAATATTGATACTTGAGAGACAAAGACAATGTGAGACAAATGCAAGTTTATATTTAGGTACTTAAGTTAAACGGCTAGCTGGGTTTTTTTTTTTTTTTTTTTTTACAAAGTATGGGGTGTTTTTTTTTTTTTTTTTTTTTTTTTTTTCAAAATACGATTTCAAAAATGTTGACTGAGGCCATTTCATTTAATACTGAATTCACTGTTTTGACATCACCCTGGCCTGGAGCAACAAAGCTTCCCAGGAGCTCCAGAAGTATCCACTGCTCCCCGAGGTGTATATACTGTATGTTCGTACTTCTAATGTCGTGTCATGTCATTTAGCCCAGGCACCTGATGGAAAAGTGTAGAGAGCTTTATCCTCCATTTCGCGTGCCAAGACGCATCATCGCCCAGGGTCACCAGTTCATCCATCTGCTTCACGGTTTTTATAGTTGTCACCTGGAAAGAACAGAACATTTGGACTCATTCTGTGCATCAACGTTAAATGAACCACAAATAAGAAACAGCGTTTGTATTTTAATTCCTGATTTGAGAAACGGTAATGTTGCCTTGCAGTTTGAGGGACTTTGCATTTGCAACATTTAAATATATATGCAATTTAGTTAAAAAAAAAAAAAAAAAAAAACCCAACAAATTTTAAAAGAAAGTTCAGACATGTCTCGAGGTGTTTTTCACTGTTACTTCTTGCGGCCTCAAGAGCGCAACCTCAACAGTAGTGATTTTAAGTTGAACATATTACAAATCGTATCATCCATGTTGTTGTTTTTATGTATTATTTGCATATATTTTTTGTGTATTTATATATTTATTTATTTATTTTTTCACTTTGTTTATATGTATTTTTTTTGCCTGTTTCACATTTAAAATGCTAAACATTTAAAAGTACCACTACTACCACTACTACTTATAATAATAATAATAATAATAATAATAATAATAATAATAATAATGGTCAACCTAGCATGTGCAGAAATGATCCAGCAAATTACTCATAGGCTCAAAGGAAGAAACAGTGACAGAAGTCTTTTTCCTATTTTAATTCAACCTTTATATAATAAATACTTAGCACTGCTGCAGTACTTTTTTTTAGGTGGATATTTGAAGTTGAATGTATTTCATAGTAAATAATAAGTCAGTTATTGTCACCAGACAAAGAATGCTGCCAAACTGACCCACAAAGAGGGTTGGTCACCTACCGAAAAAACCTTCTCTGGATAGCCTTTGGCTCGCATGTTGGTGTCATGGACCTGCTTCAGAATCATCCAAGCCTCGTCGTGTTTTCCATTCTGCATTTCAAAAAAAAAACAAACAAACAAAAAAAAAAACGTTATCTTTTCATGTTGGTCAGCGCTTCGATTTTTCAAACCTGTATCAAATACAGGTTTTATAGATATTTGACGTTGCACAGGACAAATGTTCACAGTCTAACCTCCAGGTAAAAGCGAGGGCTCTCGGGCATGGTGGACAGGGCACAGATGGCGGCCACAGAGGGAAAAGCACACACCAACACAAACACCCGCCAGCTGTGGAACTGGTAGGCCGAGCCCATCTGGAAACTCCAGCCTGTGCGATGGAGAAACACAGAAAAGGTCAGAGGAAAAAAAAACATACCGGTAGTTACAACTGGAGACACGGGGGAGGCTTCCTCTCCATTCACACTTGTGTAAAGAGAAAAGGTTGCAGATAAACGGTGGTCGTTTGCACGCATTATAAAGTGTACAAGGACACACCGTGACCAATCACCATAGACCAATCATTTTACCAATCACCATAGAGAGTCTACTAAGATAAATAACATGTAAAAGTCAGGCAGAAATGCTAAAATTGCTTTTTTATCATTTTCTATGCCATCTATTGGGGAAACGTAGGTATTGCAGGGGAAAATGATTACAGAAGTATAATGATAAAAATAAATGATATCATTTGGAAAAGTTGGGCACCAGGCCTTAGTTTGGCCATGCCTGGTGTAAACCAATTATTTGTGTACACCATTTATGACGCCTTAGTTTGGCCATGCCTGGTGTAAAGCAATTATTTGTGTACACCATTTATGACGGGGTTTTTTGAACACCGGTTCATGATGGAAGAATCTTGAGAATTTGTCGGCCATTTTTGCAGCATTCTTGATTCTTCAGTGCTACAACGGAAACGCTGCTGCAGCATTTTGGTTATTTTTTTGCAGTTTTATAAACTTATAATAATAATAATAATAATTTAAAATAATAATTTAAATCTTAAATAAAATAAGTATAACTTAGATAACATAAAATTCTGAAAAGCGCACCATTTTTTTTTTCATTATTATTTCGTGGTTAATGATATTTCTCTGTCCCTCCATTCATTTACCCTTATCATGTGTCTCACATGTATTTCTTTTTTTTTTTTTCCTTTTATTATTTAAAATCCACTACACCAATTTCATTCTCTCATTGTATAATTAGAAAAATAAATAAATCAACCAAAAGGTTGACAGTATCTAAGAGATAAATAACCACATGTTTTTCTCACCATAGTGCGGGATGATGGCCCAGGCCATGGCCGAGGCATAGATACCACCAATCATCCAGAACATGCAAAGCCAGCTCAGGTGCTCTCCTCGTTTCTCCTGGGCCAGGAATTCAGAGTAGTAGGAAAACACAATAGGGATGGAACCGCCAATGCTATGGAGCAAAAAAAAAAAATACGGGCGGACGATTAAAAGAGGGTGAAGAACAAAGAGTCCTTGACCTCAGTGGTTGGTTACTATTAAAAGAGGGTGAAGAACAAAGAAAGATAAAGAGTCCTTGACCTCAGTGGTTGGTTTATGTACGTAGATAAACAATAGCAGCAGTTTTGGAGTTATTTGAACATCACAGGGACAAAGACAGAAGCGAGGGCTTTCTGTGAGATTTGAAATTAACTTCAGGTTCAGTTCTGAAACAACATCCACTTTGTCCTTACCCCACACCTGAGGCCAGGCGGCAGAAGAGGAACGAAACGTAGCCCTGGACAAAGGATGAAAAGAAGGCAAACACACTGTTGATTGACAGGGAGATGAGCAGCGTCTGTCGCCGACCGATCCGGTCAGCCAATCCGCCCCATACAAATGCCCCGACCATCATCCCTAGGTAGACGATCAGACCTGGAGGAGCAGAGGAGGAGAGAGGGGGGGACGACATCACCAAAAAAATATGAAAATATTAGTGCCTGTTTTCATTTCTTGTTTCAAGATTAAACAATATTATGATGATGATGAGACATGATCTCTTTCTCCTTAAGTTAAATATCATATTTTTTTTTTATTAAATGTAATCTTTGAAAGGATGAAGAAAGATTAATACAGTGAGTCTTCGAGATACGAGCCCCCCCCCCCGAATTTTTTCAAGTTACGAGTAAGCGACTTTTTTTTTTTTCTCGTGATACGAGGAAACATCAAGTTTCTCAACTCGACACTGTTGCGCTGTCTCACTCACTGTGCCTTGCTTGGTCGTTTTATCTTTGGCTTTATTTCTGGCTGTCCCTTTTCTCTCTCTTCTCTCTTTCTATCATCTAAATCGAAAAACAATAACATGATGAAATGTTTTCTTAATTATTATTATTTGATATGATCAACATATCTGTTTATAATGTCTATGTTTTGGTGTTTAGATGGAGGGGGGGTTGATTTGATAATTAATAGTATATTTAAGCATAGATAATTTGATAATTAATAGTATATTTAAACATAGATAATTTGATAATTAATAGAATATTTAAACATAGATAATTTGATACTTAATAGTATATTTAAACATAGATAATTTGATAATTAATAGAATATTTAAACATAGATAATTTGATACTTAATAGTATATTTAAACATAGATAATTTGATCATTAATATATCAAACATAACAACAAAACAAACAACAAAACATAACATAACAAAACATAACAAACATAACAAACAAAAAACAAAACATAACAAACAAAAAACAAAACATAAACAAAAAAACAAAACATAAAAAAACATAACAAACATAACAAAACATAACAAAACAAACATAACAACAAAACAAACATAACATTATAAAAAAACATAAACATAACAAAACATAACAAAACAAAACATAACAACAAAACAAACATAACATAGATAATTTGATAATTAATAGAATATTTAAACATAGATAATTTGATAATTAATAGAATATTTAAACATAGATAATTTGATAATTAATAGAATATTTAAACATAGATAATTTGATAATTAATAGAATATTTAAACATAGATAATTTGATAATTAATAGAATATTTAAACATAGATAATTTGATAATTAATAGAATATTTAAACATAGATAATTTGATAATTAATATATCAAACATAACAACAAAACAAACAACAAAACATAACATAACAAAACATAACAAACATAACAAACAAAAAACAAAACATAAAAAAACATAACAAAACATAACAAAACAAAACATAACAACAAAAAAAACATAACATAGATACTTTGATAATTAATAGTAAAACATAGATTTGATAATTAATAGTATATTTGAACATAGATAATTTGATCATTAATATATCAAACATAACAACAAAACAAACATCAAAACATAACATAACAAAACATAACAAACAACAAACAAAAAACAAAACATAACAAACAAAAAACAAAACATAAACAAAAAAACAAAACATAAAAAACATAAACATAACAAAACATAACAAAACAAAACATAACAACAAAAAAAACATAACATAGATACTTTGATAATTAATAGTAAAACATAGATTTGATAATTAATAGTAAAACATAGATTTGATAATTAATAGTATATTTAAACATAGATAATTTGATAATTAATAGTATATTTAAACATAGATATGAACATATCTGTTCATATCTATATCTATATCCCTCAATACTGTGTGTTTGTGCGTGTGCAGGTCAGGTAACAGCCTTGTCTGAGCCCCCTGCGTCCGGAAATCTGCTTTTTTCCATAAGTTAAAGACTGAAGCAGCCTGGGACCATTCCATTTATCCTAATTTTCTTTCCATTTTTTTAAAGTTCCCCTTTTCAATTCTCTGGCGTGTCATACTACTCAAAGTGTTACGAGCCTGGCAAACTGCCTGATTCCTGTTTGGGTACGGGAGTTTGAGCGGTAATGAAAACGTTGCGCAAAAACATGTCTCTCGGTCAAAGCGTTTATATTTCCCAGTGAAACGCCACAATTAAATCAGGACCGCACGTCCGACTACGGATTAAAGATAGAGTTACAACTGGACTGGGTAACGGAGGGCCTGTGTGCTGCGGTTAAATGGAAAGACAAAGGATGTTTTATTTGTAATTATTCGCCAATTCTTGAGGAGAAGTGCTCTTTAAGTGCACTATCATACTATATGTGTTTGTTTAGATCAGGCATAGGCTAACGTTTTGACTGGCGGGCCACAATTGTCCTAAAATTTAACAGAGGGGGCTCGGGGGGGGGGGGCGGGGCGGGGGCGGAGGGCGGGGGGCTGAAGTTAAATGACATGTAAAAGTCAATGCATAAAGGCTGAAAATGCTTTTTATCATTTTATACGCCATCTATCAGGGAAACATGGGTATTGCAGGGAAAAGGCAGACATATAATGATAATATAAATTAATCGCCAGGCCGGATTAAAAAGCTGAACAGGCCGCATCCGGCCCCCCGGGCCTTAGTTTGCCCATGCCTGGTTTAGAGGGGACCAACACATAACAATATTATTCATATTTTTTTCCCCACTTTATTTCTTGTCATTTAAAAGTTTAAAACAACAACAAAAAAATCATCGACCAATCAGAATTTTGGTCGACCCAGTAAATTGATCAGAATATTGGTATAAATATAGTGAGGTGACGCTGAGGAGCCGGAAGTTGAATTATATCTTTATGTGCGAAGCCAATGCTAAAGTTTAATGTTGATTTTGTTTCTCTCTGTCGTCTCCCTTAAAACACATCATCTAAACTTGCGCCCTTAATCTCTAAAATGAATGACCCTATTCTATAAACTTAAAGGCAGAAGGAAATGTGTATAAAAGATAACTGGGTAATGACCCTATTCTATAAACTTTTTCACTCTATTCTCATGATTCTAGATACTTGTTTGTGGAACTAACACTTCACAGGCGAGAACCGTAAAGGCAGAAGGAAGGAAATGTGTATAAAAGATAACTGGATAACTGGGACCAGCTTAGGGACAGAAAATAGAAAATTTGGGGCATCGTGGAATTGAATGAGGAAAGGACTAAATGGTATGTGAACCCTACTGGTTTCCTTCATCGAGGAACCAATCAAAGAAAGAAAGGGGAAATTCAAACAGCTGGATTCTTTGACATTTCCATTTCCATTGTTAACTTTTGGATCTGTTGTGTTTCAAGGGTCGACCGTTCAATCTAAAGACAGGACAAAGTAATCAAAGAGATGTGTTCTCAGGTTGCCATACTTTTTTACATATGGCATGTATAGGTTTTTTCACTTCTGTTACCCGAGTCTATTAAGATTTCTACTTAGTTTATTTTGAACCAAAAAAAATTTCAAAATCCCTTTACGGGATTGTATGTTTGTGTATAATAATAATAATAATTTTAGCGAGATATAGAATTAAGACTGCAAATCCTTACCCAGCATGCCCTTGTTCGGCTCAGACAGACACATGTCTTTCTCAGCACTGGGCAGCACGAAGCCAACCACAAAGATCTCTACGCCATCCGCCATTAAAGCCAGTCCCAGGACAAAGTAGAGTGTCCACTGGAACCTGCCATGGCCACACTCCTGCAGGATGGTTTCGTACTGCTGAGCCAACTCCTCCTGGTCTTTCCTCCTCTCGCCCTCGTAGGCGGACAAATCTCTGAACTGCTGCGCCTGAGAAGCGGCCATGTCGTCCCCGGCACCCTCCTTGCCCGACTCTCCCTTTGGGATGCCCTGGTACTCGCCTTCATATATCTCATCATCTTCATCGTGACCTTCGGTGGAGTCACTGTGGTCCTCTTCGTCGTTGGCACGGCTGTCGTTGCGGTAGCCAGCGTAGTCGTCGTCGTCGTCCTCCTCCTCGAAGCGTTTATAAGAGCGTTTGGTGTATTCGTCGCCCATTTTGTCCACGCCTCGACCCACCTTCTTACCGACCTGCTTCTTGGCCACCTTGGCGATGTCCTTGGCCCCACGGATGAAATCTGAGCGTCTCTCTCTGTAGTGTCCATTATCATCCATTTTTTTTATGTTCGGAGGTTTTTTGGGTCAGTTGCTGTTTAGAATTGGAACTATGAGGAGGAGCAGCCCAAGAACGTGGGTTTGCAGCAAGTTCAGCGCCAAGGACAGTTTCTCTGCTCTGGATTGGCAGTTGGACTCAAATGCCAGAATCTGTTGAGGTGCAGAGAAGAAGATGTCCTGTTAGCAGTGTTAGCAGTCAACAAAAACCTATACAGCATCATCTGCATATAATGACAAAAAAAGACTGAATTTATCTACGCACAGGCTTCGACCACTCGGAGGTCCGTTTTATGTTATCACCCTGGTAATTCCTTAATTCCTTCGGGCTGTTGTCATTTACAATGTATTGTTTTCTGGACCTCATTATTTGAATGCAATAGCCCTGGTCCTAATCAAGGGTTATAAACAGGATCACTTTTCCATCTTTTCACCCATTTTCCCCCTTTTTCTCTCTAGCAACCAGGACTTCAGAAAAGTTTGAATTATTTCAAACTCTTGCCTGACCTTAAAACTATCCAGTTTTCTCAGTAGGAATTGCGCCTTCTTACCAAATAGTAAATGGCATGGTATTTATTTTTACATTTACATTATCAAATTCTGTGGTTCTTCGTCATCATCCTCGTCTCATCTGTCCCTGGCTTTTGAAGTAAGCTAACAATTAGCGCCTTTTCTGTTGTGCGCATTTAACTGCTAATGTTTTGGGGGGTTTTTTTTGCCTTAATATTTTTTTGCCAAGTTTTTACATTCAAGAAAACCTTCAATTCTTTGATTGCCTTAACGCATCTGTCATGTATTTACAGCCAAAGCTGTGCCACGGTCCCAGGTTGTTCACCCACGTTGACGTCAGGTGTACTGAAGATTTAACTTCATTTAATTTTAATCTTTTTTATTCCAAGCTTAATTTTGGTCTGCGCTGTATGCAGCCAAGACTCACTTTCCTTCGTCTCATATTCAGCATAGCGATCGGGATGGATTACAGGTGATAAATTAAACCCGGCGTGGAGAAATCCTTTTGAAATTTTAGCATTTTAGCATGTTGTGCAAACCGCTATCTGTGGGTGTTTCTCAGAAACACTGAAATACGTTTACACCGCAGACATGTTGCAGGCACTTTTTTGGGCCGTTTTGTTCGGTGATAAAAGTTCTTTCGGCTGAAAATTAAAAATGCATATTAGCCTGACGAAAACAAATTTTCCGTCAGGCTAATATGCCGTGCATCTCTAATAATTCCAGAGTCTCTTTCTGTGCAATTTAGGAAATAAACCCGAGTCTAAAAAACATATTTAACAAAGGAAAAGATGAAAACATAAAATTAAAGGAGTTTGTGTTTATCTGGTAATAAATGTAGAGTCTTACAGTATCTAATCAGAACCTACATTGGACTAAAAATGTATTTACATTTGAAAACTACAGGAGATTAAGCTATGCTGCAGCAGTGTGAAAAGAACCTAGAGGAGGATTTATATTTTAATAACCGAGAACTTAAATTAGCCTAACCTGTGTCACAGACCAGCAACTGCCACTGCTGTGTCTACGAGCCATACCTTATCAGAGGTGTGGACTCGAGTCTCATGACTTGGACTCGAGTCAGACTCGAGTCATCAATTTGATGACTTTAGACTCGACTTGACCAAATGTAAAGAGACTTGGAACTCGACTTGGACT